TTAAACCGAAATGATATTTAACACTTGTTGAAATTCTGTGTGAATTTAAAAGTTGAAGTTAAACCGAGATGATGTTTAACACTTGTTGAAATTCTGTGTGAATTTACAAGTTGAAGTTAAACCAAGGTCATATTTAACACTTGTTGAAATTCTGCGTGAATTTACAAGTTGAAGTTAAACCGATGTGATATTTAACACTTAATTAAAATTCTGTGTGAATATACAAGTTATAGTTAAACCGAGGTCGTATCGAAAGGAAGATGGTTTAACACTTGTTGAAATTTTGAAAAAAATTTACAAGCTGAAGTTAAACCGAGGTTATGATAAAGGATGATGGTTAAAACACTTGTTGAAATTTTTGAGAAAAATTTACAAGTTAAAATCAAGCTCAAGCAATATCTGCGTACTTGCCGAGACTATCAGGTTGTCAAAACTTGAAATATGGAAAACTGAAGTCTTGATAGAAGACATTGAGAAAGTGACAAGTCCTAAGCAACGCTTGTGAAAATATTTGTTACAAAATTTTCAAGTGTTAGGACAAGGCCGAGATGAGCAAAATTAGAAGTTGTGACAGAGGTATTTTACCCGAAGAGATTACACAATCAAGGTGTACTTTGAAGACATGCAAATTATTCTAAGTGTAGAATCATACAAGAGCAGAAAAAAGAAGACATTCATTCAAAGAAGAAATTAGAGAAATGCATTTAAAGAAGAAAGAAGGCACTTCGGCTTGAATATTGAAAAATAAATTATTCAGACTACAAAAATAGCACGTCGGCCAGATTAAAAGCATACAAAGAAGGACAAAGTACAAGGTACAAGGTACAAGGTACAAGGAGTAAAAGAAGGAAACAAAACTACTCGGCATCAATGGCAGGATATAAAAGACAGTTAGGAAGACTTCTCAACAGCCTTCTCGGCCTCGAGCTCAGCATCGATCTCCCGAAGAGTTTGATCAAAGCTCTTCTCGGCGATTGGCACCTCGGAGTTTGAAGGCAAGGATTGAAAGCAAGAATCTGGAAAAAGACACAGAAAACAGAAACAAGAATGTAATTCGTAATCAAGAATGGTGATGACGTTTTCAGGAAATCAAGACAAGAAGATTGCACAGGTGTGTCAAGCCAAGAACAGTGGCAGAAATCAACAGATGTGTAAACAGTGTGTATTCAAGAAGATGATTTGGAAATAATGGGTAAAACAGCAATGGTGATTAACAATGTAGTAGAGCTTCTTGGAAAGCAACATGAAATAAAACCAGGAAGAACAGTGGCTTACTAGAAAGAGAGAAGCCGGAAAGAGAATTGCCGAAGTCTGACGACGGATGCGAAAATGACAGAATGACGTAAGCTCCACCGGAGGAGAGGAACGAAAACAGTTGTAGAGATTGAAAGCTTGTAACAATGACGGATTTAAGCAAAAGAGCTAGAAAGAGAAAAAGCTAGAGGATTGAATGAAAAAAGAGAAAAATCAGAGTCAAGAAGACGACAAAGTTCAAGAATAAAGCCAAGTGCACAGAGACTAAGTAAGTATGTGAAGAACAAGATAGTAATGACCCAGACACGATGCTAGCAACAGAAAGCGGATATGGCAAGAACAGTGCCAGGCGTTCAAACAATTCAAAACTTGAAAACAGACGAAAATAGAAGACAACAGAGGGCAAGTAAACGGATTCAGAAGAGTTATGAAAGATTGAGTTTAATAAAAGAGTTTATGAACCTACCAAGAGAAATGAGCGCCGATATGAAGATCGTCGAAGTCAAATAGATGACTGGAAGTCGGGAACCCACCGAAGAATGTGAGTGGAGCAGTTGCAAAGCTCATGGAGTTTACGAATTAATGGAACGAGAACCTCGGCTAGGAGGTGTGATCTCGAGCAGCTTGGAAAGCATGAAGCCTGATACTTGACAGAAGTGGACAGTAAAAGGGAACTTTGAGGTCGGCGAGTTTGATCTCGGACAGAGGGGCACAAATGAACGAACAGTGTAGGTTTCATCACCTCAGAATGCTGAGGTAATAGAACCTAGGGGGCAGTTGTGGGGATATATTTTCTAAGTACCAACACGTGACCAAGGTAACGCCGACGTGTTAGCCGAGGTACCACGTGTCCTAGTTGTTATGCCGAGGTCATCTCGGATAGGCTGAGGTTACCTCCGAAGATATCGAAATCTGAGATAAGTAGATGAGGGGCAAGAGTCCTAGAATGAGAGAAGACTTCAGTTTGTATTAAAACATGACTCTTAGAGAGTTTATCCTAATCTTACTGGGAGTCCAAGATTAGTAGTAATCCTGAGTCCATAGAAGTTAGGCTTCTATTGGGACTAGGTTTATGTTTGCTATAAAAGAGAGACACCCCCATGGGTCTAAGGTATGCTTTTAAGACTCAAGCTTGTGAGTTTAGCACTTGATTTATCTTTGAGAGATATACTGACTTGATCATCGGAGTGCCCTGGGTGGACGAACCACCGCCGAAATCTTCTCTTTCTGTTACAGGTCAGCCAGGTGCCATCTATTCTGCCGGTGCTCTCTAGCTGGTTACTAAGCGGATAGTGTGGTCAGAAATTGACACCCACACAAACTAAAAAACTTTACAAACTTCTATTATTCATTGATATAACATTTATTATATTATTTAAGTGGATTCTGTTCAAATTTCAAAATTTTGTTAATATATTCTACATGAGGTAGTAAAATAACTTTGTAAAATAATTTGTATAAATTTTTCTTTAGAAAAAAATATATTGTTCAAACTTTTACTTTTTATTCTGTTTATCTTATCTACGCATGCAATGTACGTACATTGTTGAATGCATTTGTTTTCTTCTGCCGTCAGCAATATTTAGTAAATAATATATTATCATTTTAACTTTAAAATAATAAAAATAAAATACCAAATAAATGTCTTGCTTCACTTGTTGCTGAAGATTCTCCCACGGATGACATGCCACGTAGAGACAAATTGTTTGTCATATGTGGGTTGATTTTTTAACTTTTTAATTTTTTAATTATTTTAATTATGGCACTACAAGAAATAACACCTTTGTCGATTAAAAAATTGGTTGCTAAAAGTTCATTTTTAGCAGGCAAAAGGTATCCGCGATCAATTTTTTTGGTCGTTACTTTAGTCGCCAATTAAGGGTTGGCAAAAGTAATTCGCGACCAAAATTTTTGTTGGTCGGGAAAAGTTAGATTTGCCGACTAAAATTTTGATCGCTAAATATATCATTACCGCGACTAATCCATTTTGTTGTTAAAACACTTTGGTCGCGAAAAGTAATATTTTTCCGACCAAATATCTTAGTCGCCAATTGTCACATTCTACGACCAAATAGATTAGTCGCCAAAAGTCGAGGAATCGCCGACTAACAATTTAGTCGCCAAAAGGTAATGAATTGCCGACCAATGATTTTAGTCGCAAAAGTGTAGAATTTGCCGACCAATTTTTTAGTCGCCAAATCTCTTTCTTTTTTTTTTTGTTTTTTTTTTAAGAACAATCATTTTTTGTTTATAAACATTCAATCCAATGACTTAAACAAAATTCATTCAACCCAACCACAATTAAAGAACAATAACATTTAAAAAAGAAAAAGCTTAGGAACAATAATTAACAAATTTTCTTTCTTATAACTTCACTAGATCATCAAACAATAATTGAATTCCATTTAAAATAAAGATGAAAATATGTAACCGTAGTGTAGCACAGAGCATATTCAAGTCAAATTGAATTTAGTAAGCATGTCTTCTCAAAAGCTATATCCTCTTTGAAGTCCAACATGACATAAAACTTGAAGCATTTCACCTTCTTTAATGATTTAACATATCAACTTACTTGACAACTGATCCAAACTAACATATCAACTTTATGGATAATTGACCCTCCATCCTTGCATGGTCGAATGAAATAACCACTTGGAAGCATTTTGAGCTCTCACAAACCGAGCAGCAGCAACTGCATTTGGGCTAGCACCAGAACCTGACAGAGATCTCTCATAGACCTTGAAAGATTGATGATAAAAAAGAACAAATATCAAATTATTGCATCACCAACTGTCCCAGAAGTATAAGTTTTAGAAAATAGGCAAAACAATATATTCAATTAAGTCCAAACTCGATTCATTTGGTAATATTAATGCCGTCAACTAATACAAAATGATGTAAATTATGTATAAATGTTTTTGAAATTAAACAAGAATCAGAAAATATAAGAAATTTATCTCACAATAATCAAACAAAAGGTAGTAGACAAATTATGCAATATAACAATCAATTTTCATCACATCACATGTTAGAGAAATCTAATCTTACTAGGTGAGATCGACAAAGATCTTCTAGGCTAGCTTGAGAACTTGGATCTTCATGTTCATTGGTTTCAAAACAAACACCGCCATCATCGTGCTACATAAATATCAACAAATAAGCAATGCAACATAAATGCCGATTTTGTTATTGCCAGCTTCATAATGTAAATATATCTGAATATACTAGAGGTTTGCCTAACCTTTTCAGGCTGTAGAGGTACTTCTTCATACTCGTATGCATTCTCTGGCATGTCAAAATCAAATGGTCCAAAATCAAAGCCTCCATTATCATAATCATTGTCATCATTGGGATCACAAAATGATTCACAAGTTTCACATCCTCCATGAATAAGTGAATCTCTCAACTGTAAATAAAACATCAGGCATCATTTAACAAAAACTAGACCGTTTAAGGAGACAATAATAAACAACCAACAAACCAACATTTTCATATTTTCAAGGAGATTGGGATTCTTGTTGTCTCTCTGAGGCATGACGTCGTGCTTCCCATATATCACTGAACTTTGAACTAATGGTACCATGCATTCTTGCAAGAGGGAACTGAATAGTTATGGATATCCGTTTAGTGGAATTAATCCCCTGGCTTCTAAAAGATTTCACTGCTCAAAAACAGAATAAAGAAGTTGAACAAGATTAAGAGCACAAGAAGAAGCAAGGAAAAAAAAGTAAGAAAAGAAACAAAAAGCTTGAACAACCTTTTTAAAAAGGTTTTACCCTCAAATTCCTGGGTTCATAGGGATTCAAAGGCTTCCATGGATCATCTTCATCATCCAAGTCTCTAGGCTCTGAATATCTATCATCCATTTCAAATCCATAGTTTTCGGGAATATCACAAGCAGGAGGATCAGGCCCAATATTACAATCTTTAAATTTTAAGCCATGATCAACTGGAGGAGATCGATCAAGATTAACATTCTGATTCTTTCCAGCAGATGACTTGTGGCTAATTCCCCCAGATTGGTTAATGGGAGACAAAAAGCCCTTGCGAGATTTAGAGGCCAGAGAACTGCCTCTGCAGATACCATTCTGCCCTTTACCGGCTTTATCACCCTTAAAATAGTTATTAACTGCTACTGCATCACATGGGTCTAGTAGAATAAAGTCCCGGTAAAGATCATTGGTAGCTAACTGCACCCACAAATAAACTAATAAATAATTTAAATCACAATGATACACACTTCACTGTAATATTGTAAAAAAATGAAGAAAAAGAAAACAAAACAGCACTAGGTACCAGGTAGGATTCTAATTCATTGCCATCACCAGTAACATCTAAGCAATCACCTTCAAGCACAACTAAATTAGCTGGAGGCTTTGCAAAGTGATTCAATTGAGTATCTTTGCAAATTGCACTATCTAGGGAGTTCTTAGCTTCCACTGCAACATAACACAAGTTTTAGCCAAAAAAAAGGCACTCTTAACTCTTTACCAAAAAAACATTGACAGTAACAGGCTACCTGGGACATCATCTAAACCCCAGAACTGATCATTTTCGTCATCAGGTACTGCATGAGAACCATTTTCTTCTGGTTGGACTGATGCACCCTCTGGTTGATCATGCTGCCTGTTCAAATGTTGCACCAAATAAAAATGACTTGAATATGTAGTTCTTCAGTTTATGTTTTACTTCCCTTCTTACCTAACGACACATTTTCCAATTGACCTACATATCATTTACTATCATATTAAGGTTGATTACAGGTGTGGCGGCAGAGATGACTTAAATTTATTATCACATAGATAATAACAAATTCTTCACGGAATATATCAAAAATACTTCTAGTATTGCTCGCCATAACTATTTTGTTCACACCAACTTCGTTTATGAGGTTAGTGATGTTTAAATAACACACCTGCTTCAATTGTATGGATTTCTAAGAATAGTTCCAAATGGGTTAGAGAAAACACTCTATTAATGCTTTAATCAGAAAGAGTGAGATTTGATCCAAGTTGGCAGAAAATTTCCATTCACTACAAAACATAAATAAAATAAAAAATAATTTGCACTTTATATCAGAAAAAATTAACAGAGTATGAGGAACTTTAACCAAAATGAAACAACTATCCAGTTAGACATTTCTACAAACATTTGCAGTGCATTGTCTAACCCAGATTTGAAATCAAACAACTATGTCTACTTTGTGCCAACAAAAAAGAAGGGGAAAATGAAATAGTGCAAGGCACATCCACTGAAATACAACTTCATATGGTGGTGGAAATGTTCTTGGTAGCAATGGGTGTGGACGTTTTAAACTTCAATCATCTTTTGTAGGAAGCTTCCCCAAACAGGTCGCCTAACAAGGGTGATCTCCTCTTCTTGGGTCTATATATAGAGTGGGTTGCTGGTCATCGGTGAGGCTGGGTTCGGTGGAGACTCTCTCTCTCTCTCTCTCTCACACAGTGTGTTTGCCTATGTGAGTGTATAAAGCTATATAAGTTGTGGTCTTGATTGAGCGAGAAAACGAAAGTGAATTTGTTTTATTTTTGTTTATTTATTTATTTATTTTTTATAGCCGTTGGATTTGTAACGGCTGATCTCAGCCGTTGCAAGTAGGAAATGAAGGAAGGGTACACTACAAGAATTTTTACTTTTGGCGACTAAATTTTTAGTCGTCAAAAGTCATTTTTTAGTTGCCTATAGTCATTAGTGACTAAATTTTTTGGTCGGAAAATTAGTAGTCGAAGAGTAGTCGCCAAAGCTAATTGGCGACTAAACTTCATTTAGTCGCCAAATGTATTCATTTGCCGACTAAATATTTAGTCGCCAATAGGTTGGAAAATTAATTAAATAATACATTTTTGCCGACCAATTTTTTTGTCGCCAAAAGCCAATAATTTAGTCGCGGAAAAATTTTTAGCTACTAAATTTTTTAGTCACCTAAAGCGAATATTAGTGTTTTAGCTACTAAAATTTTAGTCGCCTAAAGTCAATCTTTTTTGGCTACTAAAATTTTAGTTGGCAAATAGTACTTCTTTTGGCTTCTAAAAATTTAGTCACCTAAACTTCCACATTTTTGGCTACTAAAAATTTAGTCGCCTAAACTCTCACATTTTTGGCTACTAAATTTTTAGTCGGCAAAAGTATTTTTTATTCTTCAGCTTTTGTTTTTAGCTACGAAAGATTTTAGTCGCCAAAATGTTTGATTTTCTTTTGGCTACAAAATTTTTAGTAGCCAAATGTTTGTTTTGTTTTGTTTTTTTTTCTTTTTATTAGCTACAAAACGTTTAGTTGGCAAAAACATGATATTATGTTTTATTGTTAATATTATAATGTGTCCATAGCATGTCTGTATTCCATTCAACCTGTAATACGTATGTAAATAAAATGATACGTAAATTATCAATCATTCCACAATCTGCATCCGTATACAAAAAATAAATTACTTTAACTGTCCAAGTACA